GAGCGTCTGCAGGGGAGCAGTCGTCGGGGGAAACGAGGAGGAGTGAGGAGCGGCGCGCTGCCGCCCCTCGACACAGGGAAGACAGGGAGGAGCAGGCGAGGGTGGGAGGGGAGGTAGAACCCTGGGAAGACCAGAGACAAGGTACTGTTTGTGCATGCCACGAAGGCGCTGCACGGACGGGTGACCAAGGCGGTGGTGCCAGAGGACGGTCTCGTGCGCCAGAGAGCGACACGAGCAGGGGGGCGACAGCTGACCTGACGCAGACGCAGACGCAGCTACCTGAGGGGACTCAGTGGTCAGTGTGTACAGGTCCGACCCCGGCTGCCGAGTGAAGGTGGCCAGGTGACGGCCCGTCCGAGCACACGTGCAGTGTGTCACGCGCTCGTAGGCAGGGGTGAACTGGTGGACACCCCCGTCCTGGAGCGCACAACCCGCCACCAAGTTCGTAGAGAACGAGGGGAGGTGGAGACCTGACAGTGTGCCCGACGGAACCGCAGGACAAGGGAGGACAGTGGAGGAGGTCGCAATGACCGGACCCCCAGAGGGGTCAGTGAGGGACACAACAACTGGCCGAGCAAGCTGCTCAAGGGCAATGCGGTCACGAAAGAAACAGCGAGAAGCACCTGAGTCCAGTGTGAAGGTGTGCAGTGCCTCAGTAGACTCAGTTCCAGAGGGCGCAGACTCACAAGCACCTAGAGCAGCAGCCTCACCAGCACCTGGGGTAGCAGACACGCAAGCACCTGGAGCGGCAGCCTCACCAGCACCTAGGGCAACAGACGCGCTAGCACCTAGAGCGGCAGCCTCACTGGTCCGAATGCCCGGATCGGGCGGAACACGCAGGTACTGGGCACTCTCTCCACTAGTAGACAACACATACATGGCACCAAGAATAGCATCAAAGTCAAGTGCATAGATATCAATGTTCTTCTTCATCAGATCAGCCCAGCGGGGCAGCTCAGTGGCAGCAGGAAACTGAGTGCGCCAGGCGTCGTCAAGGCGGGAGAAGCAGCGCTGCGTGGTGTGCGCCCTCCCACACGTCTGGCCAGTGCGGTCACCAGTGCGGATGACGTACGTGCAGCTAAGGCCACCCCCCCCCCCCCCCCCCCCCCGTGCTGAGAGTACCACTCACGAAGCTCTTGGGACGACGGAGTCTGCTGTTGGCTCTGGCCACCGCCAGCGCCTCCACGACCTCCACCTCCGCCGCCACCACCGCGACCACCACCGCCCCTGCCGCCACCGCGTCCACTGCCACCACCAACACCGCCCCCACCCCGGCCACCTCCTCCGCCGCTGCCGCCACCACCCCCACTGCTGCCACTAGCCCCTCCAGCCCCGCCACCACCCCAACCGCCGCCACCGCCCCCACCACCGCCTCCCCCGCCGTCACCTCCACCTCCCTTGCCCCCTTTGCCCTTGCCGCTGCGGCGCCAGCTCGGAGCGGACGCAGTCCCGACCTGCTCAGTACCAACGAGGTCGACAGCAGCAGCAGAGGCGACAGAGGGGAGAAAGGGGGAAGGGGAACACCCCTCGAAGAAAGGGGTGCGGGGGTCGCTACGAGAGGCACCTACAGCGACTATGCTAGTCTCGGCTGCAAGCAGTTCCTTCTCGAGCAGATCAACGGTGAGCTCAGTGGGGCAGCGAGCGAGGAAGTGGTCCCTGACCGCACGAAGAGAGTCTGGGAGACGGGTGACCAGGTGGTAGAGAGTGAGCCACAGCGGGGGGGGGTTCTTGGCAAGGAACTCAGCGGGCATAGCGGCACGGAAGCGGGCCTCACTAGTGCGGAGGTGCGTGATGAGGTCAGCGACTGTGGAGAAGGCAGATAGGTCTGGGAACAGGTAGGGGAGCGAGAGACGGCCTAGCGCAGCAGAGGCAGGTGAGGAGTAGCGTGCAACTACAGCAGTGTACAGTGCCTGCGCAGTTTTGTGCTGGCCAAAGTGCTCGCGCTCATCTATCGGCAGGGAGTTGCGAATAGCGAAGCGAGTGTGGGCGTCACGAGTCTGCCACTGTGAGCGGGCAGTACTGTCAGCAGTAGCAACAGGAGCAGCAGCTAGTCCTAGCGCGTGATCGTACAGTGAAATATCCTCCTTGGCAGTGAGCTGGAGGAACAGGTGCAGGTCATCGAGCCAGGTGTCAAACTTCAGTGGGCGGCCCTCAGTATCGAAAGCTAGCACAGCAGGGCTAGCCATAGTTGCAGTAGGAGCAGTAGCAGCAGTAGCAGTAGTAGTAGCAGCAGTAGCAGTAGCAGTAGTAGCAGTAGTATTTGGTGGGGCACAGTAGGGCGGCGCGGCTCGGTTCGGGCGGCGCGGCTCGGCTCGGGCGGCGCGGCTAGGTTCGGGCGGCGCGACTCGGTCGGGCGGCGCGGCTCGGTTCGGACTACGCGGCACGGCGCGACGGTGGGCCTGCGTGTGGGTGGCTGTAGCGGGCGGGTCGCGGCTGTGCGTGGGCTGTAGTCGCGCGTGGGCGGCTGCCTAAGAGGGCGTCGCGGCGGCCTACGGGCGGGGCTGCAACGCTCTGGACGGCCAGGAGGGCCGGTCGACGGGCGGCTAGCGGGCTGCTCGTGGGCGGCGCTGGTCGTCGCGGGCGGCTAACGGTCGGCGCGCGCGCAGATAAGGCCGCGCGCGGGCTGCTAGCGGGCGACGCGCGCTAAAAAAAAAAAGGCCGCGTGCGGCACTAGCGAGCTGCGCACGGGCAGTAGGAGAAAGCGAGGCGCACGAGGGCGCACTAGGAGAGAGGCGCTCGAGGGCGCTAAGTCAGGAAGGCGCTCGAGGGCGCTTCTAACGGAACGGTGGGCCCTTAGGTAAGCGATCCTAGGTCTAAACCTACGCTCTTAATACCATGTTAGAAACAAGAAGTGGTTGGACTAGAAAGGAATGAGAGTACAAGTACCTAACCCTAGAGTAATGTACCCCCTAAAGGCTAACCCACTGTAGCCTACACAAATACAACATATATAATGTTTGACAATTCCATACTTTCCCAATTAAAAAGTCGTAATGCAGTGCCGACACATCTCCCCATCCAGCTGCATGACACCAGATGCTTGAATCCCTTTTTCAATATGAGACTTAGTAGTGAACCTACTGTGTATGACACATTTATCTATATGAGTTTTGACCTATACAAACATTATTTCTTTCCATAGCTAAAAAGAAAAAAACCAGTACTGTATCCGTCCGTGGCACCTAACGGTTTGTGTGCGCGATAACATCGAACGAAAAATCTGGGTAGTGGATCGTTCATATGCGCGTTGTTTTTCGACCAGTCATATGCTACAGCGTATATGACCGGTCATATGAGCGGGAGTATACGCTCAGACATTTGTGCGTGTGTATTGCTGGTCAAGTGCGGTTGTCTATAGGCCCGGTCAATTGTTAGAGTGTATATGACTGGTCAACATCGTATGGTTATATGGCCGGACATATGTGGTAGCATTAAAGTACTACTTGTAATAAACTGTCAAACAGTCACCTATTCTCATCTAGAAGCAAAGAACAAGCAGGCTACCACATTCCCAATTAGTCAACACTCTGCAAATTATCGCTCCCCATACCACTAGTTTGCTACATGATATTCCCTGACCCCCCATATTTCCCCTTACACTTCTTCCTGGTATGCTCAGTCGACCCACAGTCGCCACACTTGTATGTCCCTTTTGGAGCTTCACGCCTTCGGTTAGATTGTGGCCGCCCTGATCCTCTCTGCACAAAAACAGGGGCATCACAAACTCCCTCCTCAACCGGCTCGGTTTCCGCAATAACAGTGTCTACACACGAATACGGAATGAGCTCCGCATTAGTCCTTCTCCAGTTGTCCGTCTTCCAATACCTGGTGATCAAGGGAACAACATCCATTCCCCTAACCCGTAAGTGTGCAAACGCATGTGAGCATGGAATCCGATATTCTTGCCAGTTCTTGCACTCGCACAATCTCTCTCCCACATCATTGTTGAACGAGAGAGGACGTGGATCCAAAACGCTCCCCTTGTTCCGAACCTTTGCCTTGTTTGGACCGTTGCGGGTGACTCTGTAACCACGGCTTCGGTTTCTTTTCAGGTCAAACCGCTTCTCAGCTTCGACCGTCAGTGCATGCTGCCATTTAGAAGACTTCCGCTGCCCATTCGAGTACATCTCTGCCATCCAATCCCACATGCCCGCCATTACGTAGGATACAGGCAAGATGCGGATCTTCTTGATAGCGTTGTTAATGGACTCCACCATTTGGCTGCTGTAGATGCCAAACCGACATGTGGGGGCATAACACCTTGCCCATTGCTTGATGAATACTGTGATTTTTTTTTTCTCTTGTACCTCGGCCCATCCTGGCCCGTGCGAACAACAGTGCCCGCCCCTTCCTCCATGTTGTCACTGTCCTCCCGCACAGCATCCGCACTGCCCAACCCCCCTAATCCCGTCTCTACTGTGTGATTGACGTCCGTGGCCTCTGCGGCTTCGTTGCCCCGACCCATGGCTGGGGAAACACCATGCTGCGGTGTTGGCTGACGGACACTTTGGCTCCCTTGCGTCGGCAGCTCGGCTACTGGTGTTTCGGTGCGTTCTAACCCTCTTGCAATTGCCTCTCTTGCATTCCGCCTTCCCTTAATAATCTCCATCCGCCTTTGGCGTCTCAAGGCCGCATGCCGCGCTGCTGTGGTGGTTAGCGGTTGAGTTGTAGTAGTGTTGGCTTGGGAGCAGTGGCCCATGTCTGTACACTCATCAACCTCATCATCCTCCGGTTCCTCCCCGCAGCTGATTTGGCTCCCATCCTCCACGTCGAAGTGCTCCATGAATACTTCTTCTGTGGTATCTGCCTCCGCCTCACTGTCGGACATGGTTGTTGCTATATCCCCCTCATTCTCGCCTGCCAACGAAGGGTGCTCGGATGGTGTTGCTGTCACATGATCAGGTAGATGCACGTTGTCAGCAGCCGTAGATTGAGGCCGTAGGTCACAAGGCCGGTCACGAGTATGATTTCCAGTTGGCATGGGTCTGAACCCATGGTCCCTATGGGACTGCTGAGATTGTGGCTGCTGAGATGGCTGCTGCTGAGATGATGGCTGCTGGGATGGTTGCTGATGCTGTGGTGGCTGCTGATATGAAACATGCTGAGTTGATGGATGATGACATCTTGGGTGATTTGATGGTGCTTGTTGAGATGGTGGCTGCTGATATGGATTCTGCCGAGATGGGGGCTGCTGAGATCGTCCTTGTGTAGATGGTGGCTGCTGAGATGGTGGCTGCTGAGATCTTCGCTGCTGAGATCTTCGCTGCTGAGTCGGTGCCTGCTGAGAAGGTGCCTGCTGGGATGGTGCATGCTGCTCTCCCCTGCGACCACTCCTCCTTTGCCGCCGCACTTCCATCCTTGCCATTCTCGCTCTTCTTGCGGCACCCGACCGGCTCCTTAACCCATCCCCGGCCTCTGGCTCCCTTGCACGCTGGTTGGCCCCGCGGCCGCCACGGGTCTGCTGCGCACGGGCCTCTTCGACCCCAAAGAGATAGTTCGCCATTGCAGCACACTCGGCCCGGCATCTCCTCACGAGTTTGCCAAACTTCCGCTTGGAGCGGCAGTTGGCGAGCTTCTTGAAGAGTTCAGAGGCGTTAGGGCCAAACTTGAGCACATTCTGCTCCAAGTGCCAGCTGCAAAAGTAGTGGGGGAACTCGGATGGGAAAACTTCTTTAACCGCCGGTATTAACCCCTTGTCACGATCGCTGATGAGGGAGGCATCATGGGTGGTGGGCCACGACGGAAAATGCTTCAACAAGTTCTCACAAAACCACTTCCAACTATCTTTGTTCTCACTCTCGCACAGGCCGTAAGCGAGTGGAACAAGCTGGTTATTTCCATCCTTAGCAGTTGCTACCAAGAGTGTGGCCCGCTGCGCCCGAATGAGAAATGTACCATCCATACCAATGACCGGTCGACAGAACCTTAGAGCAGTTCTTGACGCCGATGGGGCGTCAAAAGCCCGGAAGAAAGCGTGATCCCTTGTCACCAGGTCGAGCGTTGAATCAGGGTCGATCTCTTTGAACCATTCCAACACCCGAGGAATGTAGCGGAAATAAGTTTTCCAATCTCCAAAACGTTCCTTCAGCATCTTTTCCTTGAGCCTGCAATGACGGACGACGATATGCAAGAAACAAAGGCAGGTATCACAAACATGAGGTGGACGGGGTGATTAATAATGTGCATGTGAATGTGGCAGCCGTATGGAGAGAATGTTTGAAAACTTACCGCCATGATTGCTGATAATGGATATCGGGACCACCGGTAGACGCAATTTGTTCCTTGTACGTCCCGGGAGGGTGATGTGGTGCAGCATGAACAAGATTGCCATGATGACGCTGCAGATAGGACACTTTATTTGTTGTGTGCTTCACGTAGCGGTCTCGATCAACGAGTGAGCAGCAATGGGACGATGGGGCGGACAGTTTATCAACACGCCAAAACCCACCCACTCCGTCAGTAGAGTACTCACACCGCCACCGGCACGCAGGTTTAAGACGCTCATGTTGACTCATGCATATGGCTTGGGCTCTGTTTCGCCTACTCCTCGTAACCCTAAATCCGAAGTTGCAAGCTACCGAATAGTCTTCTAGTGCTTCGTACAAAAATTTCTTAGAGGAGTATAGTTGACCTTCACACAACGGTGCTCGATCGTCTATCACAATTTTTGGCGAGGGGTCCTCGTCGACGGCCATTTCCCGGAGCAACGCATATTACATATCACTTTGTTTGGGCTCTCCAGTTCCAACGAAACAAAACTCTGTGTCGTCATCGCCTGAGTCGGACTCTGTGTTAGAAGTATAAGACATCGAACCCATTGCGGCTAATATGAACGTTCAAACCGTAAGGCCTTCCTAGAAGAACCTCCTATAAGGACCTAACTGGTCTAATCGAAGGCTAAGGTAGATGTCAACCCTAAAACAAAGAGAGGAAATGGTGTGAGAGATCCGTAGCATAAGGATCAAATGATAAAGCGCGGGAAGATGATAAGGGCGTACCAAACCAGATTGACCGCCTTAATTCGAACCTAATTGGCCAGAGTCTAAGTTTTGTGCGAGTGTATTTAGTATATGATTGGCGGGATCATATTGTAAATTGTGTTTAATGAGCGCGGTCAAATATGATCGCAATCCTTAATGATGGTGCCTGATTGGACGTTCAATGGCAACAATTGCACCGCGCATATTTTTGACGAATCATCCGCGTGCATAAGGGGTGTTGCGGTTAGATGCGGGTCAAGAGAAGTATATGATCGGGGCTATATATTCACGATCGATTATTGGTTGCGGATTTGTTTGACATGCCGCTCATTGGTCGCACATTTGCCCGAAATTGAGCGCGCATTTACTGTTGGTCGGCTTATTTGTCAGTTTCTTCTACAGTGAGCGGGCCACGTTCGCGCCCGCCGCCTTGGCGAAATTCGGGGTCGCCCGAGTCGTCTGCCTGTTGCGATTTCAGTGGGGGTCACCAACCAATGGGGGTGTAGAGGTGTCATAAAACGACGAATGGGCGCCAAATTTAACGGCAGAACCTGCCTGTCGGGCAGTGTAAAACAAATAAAAGCGGGAATCCAGTTTTTGACTTGGGGGTACCCGATTTGACTTGGGGGCACCCGATTGAAACGTGGCCAGCTTACCATTTACGTGTAGCCGGCTTGCCTTGCACGTTTGTGCCATTCAGCCCGAATGCATTGCAACGCCCTTTCATGCCACGATCGCAGAGCAGGATACTTGACGTGCAATTGGTCGCACGTACACTAAACCGTCGGGTCCCAAAGTGTCCCAACTTCGAACCGCGAGGCTGAACATTGAAATGTCATTTTTGGAAATGCGAACCGTGTGTCCCAACTTCGGATGGTGTCCCGACGGGGAATGCAACCTGAATTTGTGTGTCTTGGTTCAACGAGCTTATCGAGGCTCGGGCTCGACCAAAACTGAGCGACAAATCTAAAACCAGAAAACTGTACCAAGTTCGGTGTAACCAGTTCGACGGATGAACCAGTTTGACGTTTGCATTTTCGTCAAAACAAACCGGCATTCGGATTAGTCGTCATTTCCCTCAGAAATAACCGCACGGACCTCGGTTATTTGTGGGGGCAGTGGCGACAAAAAACAAAGCGGTTCGTTTTTAAGAAAATGCGACCGTCAAAATCGTTACACGCCCTAACGAACTCAGTGAAACCTCACAAGACCAACTGGCATGGCGCCCGTCTGCTATTCCGCCATATACCAACTCAGTGTTATTCTGCGGATGCGATTCGCGTCTGACGGCGAGAATTCTGACCAACGGATCAGTAGGTTAGTTTTGGCCGTGCCTCATTCTTATGGCGCATAGCCTCTCCCCACACACTTCCCTTTTTCTCCCGTGCTCCTTCACTAGATACTTGATGCCGTGCCTTGCGGTACGATTTTTTTCGATTGAGATGCGTGTATTGTCTCCCGTCACCCCTTTCTGTTTGTTACCGTCGAGCTAACGGTACGAGTGGGGAACAATTCGTGTTACCGTCAGAACGGGAGGTCGCAACCTAAATAGTTTGCGTCTCCCGTGCGCTCGTCCCATTCCCTTCTCGTCCCATTCCCCCGCTCGTCCCTTCCTCACGGGCGCCACTTATCTACCAGATCTGGTAGTTACCATGGCTTCGCAACCCCACGTTAGGTATGCGCGTGTCCCTACTTCTGACTCCGACGCTGCGCCCGACTTCGCCGCCTCGAACGCGTCTGCCGCTCCTCAGTCAACCGCGGGAAGAGCGCGAGGCTCCAACGATGCGGATATCCGCTTCGCCGGTCCTGATATCCACAGACGCGTCCCGAAACGATCAGTGCTGCTCGCGCTGTTCCTGCTGTTCCTGGGGTGCGCGTCGCTAGCAACGTTCTACCTCATGCAGACGGGGCAGGTGGAGGCTGGCGCGCAGCAGAAGTGGACGTGCCTCGCCATCGCCTTCCTCACGCTCATGCCCGGTGAGCCTAGTGGCCGAGTCTAATGGTGGTCGCGAGCGTAACGGCGATGCGATTCTTGCGGCGAGTCTTGATTTGCACAGCATGTGCACGATTTTTATTGATTTCCTCATCACGCTGCTGCGGTCGTGCCACTCACTGAGCCGAAGGGAAGGATGTGCGCCTCAAAAGTGTCGCGTTCCTGCCCAGGGTGTGTATGGTTTGCCGCACTCCAGTTCAGGGCTACATCTGCCTCAGGGCTGTTTCTTTTGGCAGGGAGCACCATGTGTTGCCCTGCTCGCACTGGCATCAGCGTGATTTCACCGTGAGCCACTCCCTTTCACCATTCCCTCCTCTCTCTCGCCCTCGCCTCTCCACCATTCCCTCCTCTCCCTCGCCCTCTCCTCTCCCTCGCGCCCTCACCTCTCCACCATTCCCTCCGCTCCCTCGCGCCCTCACCTCTCCACCATTCCCTCCTCTCCCTCGCGCCCTCACCTCTCCACCATTCCCTCCTCTCCCTCGCCCCCACCTCTCCACGATTCCCTCCTCTCTCTCGCCCTCACTTCTCCACCATTCCCTCCTCTCCCTCGCGCCCTCACCTCTCCACCATCCTCACCTCTCCGTCACTAACCTTCACGTTCTCTCACCAAACGTTTACAAGCTCCCACCACCTCTCTGGATGCACTACTACTCTTGTATGGCATCCCTCTCCCACGTGGCTTTACGACCCGACCCCTCACCTATTGTAGGCGTATCCACCTCACCCATGATGCGAGACAGCACCACGCTATGTGGCATCCATTTTCCCAGCCACATAGCTACTTTTGAGGCGCCTCAAAGCCACATTCCGTAAAGCTCAAGGCCCAAATTGTGCAAGATTAGTAGTCTTGCGCTAGGCCGAGGGCTGGGGTGGTTTGGGAGGTGCACGCAAAGTCGAGGAGGTTTTGGGTGGGTGGGGTTGTCTGATTTTCGATGCTTTTTTCGCTGAGTCAGCAAACAGCAGGGCAAATGTCCGTTTGGGACCCTCGAGTCCCAAATTGCAGCTCTTTGAAACTCGAAGTTTTAGCACTGAGTTGGGCCTCGACCAATCACATTCCTTCGTCAAACTGTAACCAGTAATTTGCCTAACATACAGCATCTAAAACGTCAGTTGCGCAAGATTACTAATCTTGCCACTGGCGCTTTGCAATCTGGGCCTTGAGCGTTAACTCCAATGTTGTTACCATTGCTGTTGCCGTGCTGCTGCTGTTGTTTTGTAAAATTCATTTGTCATTCTGTCATATGTAAATATATATGAGCACAACTCAGCCGTCACGCAATCATTAGAGCTCTGGTATCAGAACCCCCTATTTTCACTCCACCCCTTTCTCTCGCTCCGCCTAGCATGTCGTTGGCCTTTCTCCTCAAGTCATCCCCACTCTGTCCCATTCACATCTGAGCCGCTTTTGATAGTTCCCAAAAGCCTCAACTTGTGATTCCGTAACTGCATCAGCATTAGCTGAAGCATCTACATGCATGCATCAACTCTGGATGTCATGCATCAACTCTGGATGTCATGCATCAACTCTGGATGTCATGCATCAACTCTGGATGTCATGCACCAACTCTGGATGTCATGCATCAACTCTGGATGTGATGCATCAACTCTGGATGTCATGCATCAACTCTGGATGTGATGCATCAACTCTGGATGTCATGCATCAACTCTGGATGTGATGCATCAACTCTGGATGTGATGCATCAACTCTGGATGTGATGCATCAACTCTGGATGTCATGCATCAACTCTGGATGTCATGCATCAACTCTGGATGTCATGCATCAACTCTGGATGTCATGCACCAACTCTGGATGTCATGCATCAACTCTGGATGTGATGCATCAACTCTGGATGTCATGCATCAACTCTGGATGTGATGCATCAACTCTGGATGTCATGCATCAACTCTGGATGTCATGCATCAACTCTGGATGTCATGCATCACCTCTGCGTGCATGCATCACCTCTGCGTGCCTGCATCACCTCTGCGTGCCTGCCTGCCTGCCACTGCCCAGCTGTCATTATAACCCAACTCTCTGTTTCTGTGTCTGCTCCTCCGCTCCTCCGACTCCGCCCTTCACTTAATGAGACTAGCATAATGCATCCCTCGTTTCTTTCTGCCCTTGGTTTGCTTCTCCATCCCCGTGCCAACATTGCAGGCTTTTACGAGAGCCGCATTGCGTATTACTCGTGGAGACAAGCCCGGGGATACTCCTTCTCACAAATACCTCGCTACTAGTATTGTAGCTTCATCTGGACGAGCCTGCACGTTGGTGCTCTAAATTTCAAGGCGTGCATGCCTGCCTGTTGTCGGTTCTCTACGGTAGTTTAGGGAATGCGTTTGTTTAATTTCCTCAAATGTTGTACTATGATCTGCACACATACGGTACAGCTTGTCATAATTGCCACATACGCAGTAGCATGTCTATAAGATCTGACATCAGCACATGGCAGTGCAAGCTTCATACGCGGAGGAGGAAGCAGCAAGCCCCCCTACACTTATTCACTGCCACTACTGCAGCAGTTCTTGGCGAATCCAAACGCAGTTTTCCTGCCAGCGAGCACCCTGATGCAGCACCACACCCTAGTGCTAACGAAAGTGTCGGAGTTCTCTCTGCTTCTGCTCGTCCTCCTGTCCCAGCCATGTCCTACTGCTCTTCCTCCTCTCTTGCTCTCCCTTCCTTGCTCCTTCCTTACCTCTTCCTCCGCAGTACTCTCAGCTCCCTGGCTCCTCTGGTCCTGTCTATTCCTGCCTGCACTTCATCTAAGTCGCCAGCTTTAGCTCTCTTCTAGCCTCTCTTCAGCTAGCTCGGCTGGCTGAACTGGTCAGCCTCGTCTCTGAGGCTCTGGTTTGCTTGGGTTGGCTTCACACTTCCCTTGGCCAGTTGGTTCGCTAACACAAGTAACGGATTGAAAGTGAAAACAAACAAGCAAACAGCCCATTCTGCCAGCGTTGCTGCCTAAGTAATTGTCTTTTGGTGCCCGTTGCTTGGAACGGCCTTTTCGCAGAGTTTCGCTACTTTATCTTCCCGCCAAGCTTCCCGCTCGATCCTATCCCTGCTACTGCTGGTTTCACTACAGTTCCTTGTTTCACGTTCATATCTAGTCTATATTATAATTAGGCTAAAACGTGACAGCTGTCGGAGTTCTCTCTGCTTCTGCTCGTTCTCCTGTCCCAGCCATGTCCTACTGCTCTTCCTCCTCTCTTGCTCTCCCTTCCTTGCTCCTTCCTTACCTCTTCCTCCGCAGTACTCTCAGCTCCCTGGCTCCTCTGGTCCCGTCTATTCCTGCCTGCACTTCATGCCCCCTCCTTGGTCCTGGTGCTCTTCCCGAGGACCCATGGATCTCTGCTCCTGCAGGCTGCTGACTGGCTCCTTCTCCTCTCTGTCCTCTCCCTGGCCTGCTCTCTGCCTTTGGCACAGCCCTGGCCACATTCGTCCTGTGGTCTCTCCTTTCCTCTCCCTTGTCGCTTATCAGCACCACCACTCCCGATCCCTTGATCTCCTTCACCTTCCATCTGTCTATCCCCACTCCTATATCCATCATGTCATGCTTCGCCTGCTTCAGGTATACTTCTTCTCCCACCCCCAGCTCTCTTCTTGAGTTCCCCTTCGCCGCTTCTGCCCTGCTCTTGTACCTCTGTGCATCTCTGAGCTGGGCCACGTACAGGTTCTCCAGTGCTGCTGGTAGCAGTTCTCTCAGGAACCGTGCTCTGGCCTCCGCCAAGCCTACCCACTTCTCCTCGTCAGCCACCATCACTATGTCTGTCAGTATCTTGGGTGCATCGATCGGCAAGATGGGCTCTCTTCCCAGGAGCAGGTAGTATGGGGATAGGTCTCTCAGTGCTGCTTGTTTACTGAAGCGATACCCGGCGGCTACCCAGGGCAGCCTAGTGTCCCAGTCCCTCTTGAATTTCTCCCCGTATGCCCTCAGACCTCTCTTGACGGTCTGCACGAACCTCTCAGTCAGGGCGTCACTCTGGGGATGGTATCTAGAGGTTCGTCTTTGTGTGATGCCGGTCTCCTTCAGCAGCTTGTCAAAGTCTCCCATGAATTTCGACCCCTGGTCCGTCAACACCTCTCCACACGCCCCAAACCTCGTCAGTACCTGCTCCTCGAACGCCTCTGCTATACGGGCCGAGTTCTTGCTAGGCAGTGCCTTTACTTCTACCCACTTGCTTCCATGCTCAATCATGATTAGGATGTAGCGCTTCCCTCTGCGACTTAGTGGCATTTCTCCTGCTAGGTCCAGTGACCATTGGAAGCCGAGCCCCTTCACCGCCAGCGACTGCAGCTCTTCCCTCCCTCTTTCCAGTTCGGCCTTGTTTCTGCTGCACAACTCACAGTTCTGCACCCAGTCCTTGACCTGTCTCCTCATTCCGGCCCACAACCAGCCCGTTTCCACTAGCTGCGTGGTCCTCAGGCTCCCGTAGTGGCCTAGCTGCCTGTGTACCTTGGCAATGATGTCTGGCCGCTCTTCCCGCCTCGGCACTAACTTCCATCCTGCCTTGGTGTCCTTCTGCAGCTGCCCTTCGTACCAGCGATAGTGTAGTCCTCTCGCTCTTGCTCTCTCGCTCACTGGTTCCGCTTCTCCCGTTTTCCCTTGCACCCACCGCAGCACCTCCGCATCTTCCCATACGTCTTCTGCCCCTTGCTCTCCCTTCTTCCTTGCCCCTTCTCCATCTATCTCTCTCGCCAATGCCACCAGGCATGCCGCCGGCTGTTCTGGGGGTGGATTCCTTGAGAGGCCGTCTACATGCTGCATCGTCTTGCCTGGTCGATGCCTGATCGTGAACTCGTACTCCTGCAGCCGCATGGCCCACCGGGCGTTCCTTCCGGTCAGCGCCTGATTGGTCATCAGCCAGGAGAGCGGCTGATGATCTGTCACCAATTCGAATGGCCTCCCCTGCAGGTAGACCCTAAAGTGGGTGATTGCCCACACCGCTGCCAGGCCCTCCCCTTCGTAGGAGCTGTAATTTGCCTCAGCTGGGTTGCAGCTCCTGCTGGCGAAGGCCACCACTCTTTCCTCTCCCTCTTTTTCTTGGCATAGGATTGCCCCCATGTCAGAACTGCTCCAGTCGGTGTAGAGTACGAATGGCTCCTCTTTGCTCGGGAGTGTAAGCACCATGGCTGACTTCACCGCTCTCATCAGGGCCTGCATCGCTCCCTCCTCTTCCTTCTCCCACCTCCACGGCTGCTCCTCTCTCAACAGGCGATTCAGCACGGCTGCCGTCTTGCTGAAGTTCAGTACAAAGCGCCTGTAGTAGTTCAGAAAGCCGAGCAGCGTGCGAAGGGTGGTCCGATCCTTAGGCGCTGGCACTCTGTCAAGCACCTCTACCTTCGCTTGCTGGATCCCTAGGCTGCCCCCTTTTACTTCAAACCCTAGATACTTCACCGACTCGTCTCCAAAGCTGCACTTCTTGGGGTGACACGTCAGCCCCGCGGCTCTTATCGCCTCTAAGGTCGCCTTCACATCTGCCACATGCTGCTCCTCGTTGGGGCTGAATACCACTACATCATCGATGTAGCACGCGTCTGCTGGCACCATCCTGAGCGTGGCATCCATGATCCTCTGAAACAGCGCGGAGGCGTTCTTCATCCCAAATGGCATACGAGTCCACTCGTACTGCCCGTCCGGTCCATGAAACGCGGTTTTCCTCATGTCTTCCTCTCTGATTGGGATTTGATTGAAGCCTTGCCTCAGGTCCAGCGTCGAAAACACCTTCGCCCCTTGCAGTATGTCAAATATTTCTTCCGCGGATTGCATGGGATACCGGTCGGCTACTGTGACCTTGTTGAGCCCGCGGTAATCTCCACACATTCTCTTGGCCGAGACTTCCCCCGTCAGGTCTTTCCTGGCTGCTACCACTGTGGCTGCCGCATATTCACTCTCGGAGCGTCGTATCCATCCGGCTTCCAGCAGCTCCTTGCATTTCTTCATGCACACCTCGGCATCTCCCGGGCTCATTCTCCGTTTCCGCTGGCATACTGGCACCTCACTATTCAGGGTGATTCTCATCTCATGTGTCGTGCATCGGCCCAGCTCCTTCAGGTCGTAGGCGAACGTGGCTCGGTGCTGCCTCAGGACTTCCTGCAGCTCCCTCGCCGCTTTTGCCCCCATTCCCTTTCCCACGGGCCATTCATCTTCCGGCCCTTTCCTCGCCTTGGACTCGGCTTCCTGCTGCCCCTCTGTCTCTGCTGCCACTTCGCCTTCCCCCAGCTCCTCTCCCAACTGCTCTTCTAAGGCCATGAAGGAAGCCCGTCCTTCTCGTATCCTGCCCTCATTCTACTGCTCGATCAACTCCATCTCTCGCATTCACTTCTCCACCTCTTCCTCGTCTTGGTACTGCCTGCTGCATTCTATCTCCCTCTCGATTTCCTTTTTCTTCAGGTGCATTCTTATCGTCTCTATGATCCATGACATCGCGTTGAGATCCATGGCCCGTCCCAAGGCCGCCCTCCTCTGTGCCTCGCTCACGCTGGGGTGTGCAGTGGCTTCCCATCGGTGACCCATCGCTGCTTCTTGTTCCGTCGCTGTCGGCTCCTCCCATTTGTTCGCCCTTACATCATACACCATGCCCAGACCCGGCAGACCTCCTTCCATTATGAATCCCCTTCATCCGACGTAGGACACGATCGTGCTCAGTGCCTGCCGTGGCTTTCCAGGCTCGTTACTCTGATACTGCGACGGATGGTCCCTTGTCCTCACTGGTGCCGGCAAGCGGTTCGGCCCTAGTATGTTGCTCACCAGCCTGGGCTCTGGCCGTTGCATCTGAGCCAGTGAGTGCCGCAGGCTTGCCTCAGACACTCCATTCTGCCAATACCTGCGAGGCCTGTGTGCTCTGGAGCCGAGCTGCGCTGCGTCCGCTGCTACTCCCCTTCCCACCGCCTGCTTGATCTCAGCAAAGGCCTCCTTGACGGGCTCTCTCTTGTCTTCTGCGAGATCTACGTTCTCTAGCACGTACAGCACTTCTCCTTGTTTCCGCTGCAGCATCTCTAGTACCCGCTTCAGATCTCTGAAGGAAGCCCCTCTGCTGTCTGCCATTCCTCCTCCTTCACCCGCTCTGGAGTAACATTGGCATTCCCAGCCTGCTACCACCAGGTCCACCTGCCCCCACTTCTCTAACTGCTCCTCGGTGATGTCCCGCACATCGTCCACGGTTGCCTCTTCCTCAGCCGGAATGGCGGTTGCCAGTATCTGCTGCGGGTAATCTTCCAGCAGCTTCAGGGCGTGATATCT